ATTCGACATCTGCTGTTTTGGCTTTCTCATTAGAAATTCATGGGCTGGAGTAAACGATTTATGCACAAAGAAGTTGTGTAACAGGGTCGACCTTCCTTTTTTAATCCCAACGTCTACGGAGGTCTCGTGCTCAGAAGTGGAGAGTCGTTTCTTACGTGGTACCGCCATTTAGCCTTCATTATGCGTCAAAACCTACGCTGCTTTTTGCAGTTCAGTCTTCGTTCTTGCTCCTTCTTTCGAACAACTGTCCTCAATGCCGTACAGCAGCGACCTGGCAGATGCAAGATACAGGTGGACTTTCATGAAAATAGCTGGTCATTTCTCAGCTCGAATATTGGACAGGTTTCCAAAAGGACTCGAAGCTAGGTCGATTCTCGTGTTTAACTCCAACTGGGTGGTACTGTCGTATGGAACCGAGGTACTTAAACTGAGCAGCTTTCCGAAGGGCTTTACCTCCCTGCTCCACTTGTAAATCAGCTGTAACGGATGGATTCTTCATAAATTTTGTTGACTTCGCGGTGTTGAAGAAGAAATCGGCTTTCGCGATTGTGTTGCATGCGGAAGCCGTCAAGTGACAGATTCTTGCTACTTACCAGGACAATATCATGTACTTACTCCATGTTAGCAAAATATGTAGTTGGGTATCTTGAACGGCGCCTTCCCTCTAGAATGAGACCTTCGTGTTCGTCCAGGGTTAGCAGTATTTCTGAAAATAAACTTTATGAATAGCAAAGGCAATACATCATCCTGGTGAAGCCAGCAGTTAAGTTAAGATAGCTCTCCTTCAACTTTGACAGCAGACATGGTTCCTGCGTACGTCTGTTCCAAAATGGAAATGATGTTTAGATGTCCCGTAACACTTCAAAATTCTTGACATCGTCGGATGAGGCACTGAATCAAATGCAGCCTTAAAGTTGAGGAAACTACCCGATCACTGCTACTGGAATGGTCGGCATTAGGTGATACTGTGTAGAGTGAAAATTCCGTCAGGAGGAGTAGTCCATGTAAAGGTCTTCCTGAATTGTGCGAAGTCTTCCATTTTGTATTTGCGTCAGTGTTTCTAGGATAATCCAGGAAAAGAGTTTTCCGGTAGTTGACAATAGTATGATTTCACGATAATTGGAGCACTCGGTTGGTAGATTCACTTTAATTGTAGGGACAGACAAACCTTACCCTTCGGTCGGCAACCGAAGGCAGACTGTTCAGGTAACTTGAACACGTAATATTGAAATGTAGTGCGTGAAATGTGCTCGCCTGGCTGAGAACTATGGCAGTATGGAGGGCCTGGTAAATTTGCAGACTAGTGACCGGAAAATGATAGCGGGTGAAGAAAACGACTGAACGAAAGACAGCAAACAAGCGAAACCGTGGGGGTTACACCTTCTGCTGGTTAGCTGATCGAATAGGCATCTGTCATATGGGTCAATGCAAATTGCCGCAGTGTAAGGCGTTCGTATTTGAGGACAAGGCCGTACCTCTGCCCATTCTGGTATGATTACATCAAAACATCGTACCAACCCTGTTGTTCGCAAGGCATTGATTTGCTGCCCGTTTATCGGCTAGTTACACGGAAACGACGCGGTGCAATATCGTTGTTCAACGAGATTCGCGGTTATGACAACCGTCGTCTCTTCTCTGAATTTGAACTCGGTATCTGGTAGTTCGAAGCGAACCTCTTTATACTGTGTGAACGTGCCGTCGTCTTGGTGACTATTTAGAAATAGAATGGAAGAGAAAAGAAATCATGGAAGTTGCTTTAATTCATATATATGTATCGTTTGTTTGACTCTTTTTCATGAGAGACTTGATTCTGAAGATAATGTTCACAGCAGCAGCAGCTTGCTTTTGCTGTCGTCATTGACGCTTATTGCTGTTAGAGATTATCTTTCACAGAACATATGTATTCGTTCTGGCGATGGTTGTTATGACTACCTTACAGGCTGAATTACTTTCCTTCCACGCTCGCCGACACGGATTTATATAATTTTCTATTTTGTTTTCGATTAGTTAGGCAATGAGATTACATGCCTGTTATGTTACCCCCTCCTCTGCTCATTTTTTTAGAAACTCAAATTCAACAAACGAGAGCCTTTTTCTTGACAGTGAACTACTCTTTCTCTGTAGAGCACGAAGGACGAAAAGGACATACATATGACCGGCAAAAGCAGGATAGGATGACTCTTAACAACTGGAATATGTGCACTTAATTGGAAAGGAACAAGGACTGATTGAAGAAGCATAGTCGTGTCAACCGTATATAGCTGAAATGTCTTCTACGAAAAGTCGTAGTTGCAAGGTCGTCGACCTCGAAAATGTCTCTAAAGCTTTACCGCTTCGGAGCTGATCTGTGTATGTCACAGCTCATGCAGTGGTGGCGATAACGGTGAGTTTCGGGTCTACTGACTGACTTCCCCTGGCGGTTGAAGTTGTATGTTCATGCTAAGAGTTATGGAGCAGTCACTGCCTCTGCTGCAGGTGCTTGAACTCATTCTTGTGTCGCAATGCAGATTCTTTATGGAGGATATAGACAGATTTGAAAAGGTCCTCGTGGTGGGATACTTCAAAGTAAATGTTTGAAATGACTGCCAGAAATGAGAGTCGTAGTCGATAAGAACGGTACCCCATGTGCCTAAATGGTGAATTGAAATGTCGATTATTTGGACTTTTGCTGCGCAAGGGGTTTTCCTTAACGGAGACATTCTTTAACGTGAATTTTCAATTCAAGTTCACCGTAGACTTAGAGCCCAGATCACTGATCGATCAGGTAATATTTTCTATTCACTTGGGCTATTTTCTGTGATAGCGTTAGGGAGAAACTATGGTTGGATATGTCGACTGTTTGACTCCTCACTGTCTACAACCTGCGTCTTTCAAAATGCAGGAAGACTAAAAGGTCGGCGGAACAAACTTTGCTTACTGAATAACGTATGAAGCTTTGGAAGCTGGGGATGCATGAAAACGATGCGCTAACAAGGTGCCAGCAAAGTTTAATTAGATACTCAGTTAAGCTTCGAATGTAGAGGTGGAATGGGAGCAGCCTTAACTGTCGACCACATGTTTGAATGAAGATAGGTGACTCGCGATTGTCAGCAACGAACGAACTTTCTTGTGAAAACCAGAAGTTTAAGTCACCGTGAGGAAAGATTAAGTACTAATGAATGTATATTTGTTGTGTTTGAACATGTTTGAATATGTTGAACATTGCGATATCTTTCCACACAAAAGAACCAACAAATACATTAAGCAGTAGTCAAACGGTAGCTATTAACGCGATCGATAATGCAACGATGATAGCTCCTTCATGAAACGAGCTAAAGTAGGTATGAAGTTGCAGCACGTGCAGTGAAAGCCGGAAACGCATTGGCGTGGTGATGGTTTGCAGAGAAACAGGACTTTTGAATATCGATCAGCAAACCAACAGACAGACTAGTAACTGTCTGCACCGGATAAGGTCAGATGGCGTCAGTGTTGTGAAGGTTTCATAGGGAAGTTTATCCCAGTAGGAAGATATAGTTTAGAGATGGTTGGAATGCGTTTTGAATTTCATGGCAGCAATCGCGAACTAGCATTTGACCGGAAACTGATTTGACAGTGGTTGAAGTGTTAGCTGCCATTTAGCTGCTGAAGTTTAAGCTGGCGGGGAAAATGAAGTTCGACGAGAGATGCCGCATTTCTCGAATCGCAGTGGTATCGCATGGCTGAAACGGCATGCCAGGTGGCGCAGAATTGAGCAAAAATATTAGCAATCCAGTGTTTTCGTTTTACGTTTTCAAAAAAGTAAACTTGAGAGACTGCAGCAGCTACGGAAATATGGTTCATCTACTTAGGCTGCCGGATAGCGTGTGTGCAAGGTGCTTGGTCATAAATGCCAAAAAGGTAGAGCAGAACGATGTAATTGTGTAGCAATGTGGTTTCTGTCTCGATCCGAACAGCGTGAACCAGATCCTTACTCTACACAAGGTATGGGAAAATGCAGGGAATAAGCGAAAGAGGTTTTATGCTTGTTTCATCGACGTAGCAGAGGCTTACAGCAGTGTTCCCTGTTCGAACATGTGCAGATGATCAGCTACTGGGGGAGGCGATTATATCCTTATACGACTGCTCGGAGGGTAATTGTTCGGTTTAATCGGAGGAACATGAGACGTTTCAGTTGCTAGATGCACCTCGTATCACTAGGTTCATTCGTTTGAATATGTAAATTGGCACAACTTCAACACCTGGTTTATAGCAAACGCTTTTCTGTTTTTACTATTTGCATAGGGGAACCGTAACTCAGAGGGCCGCCTTTGAGCATCTGCACTGATGAACATGAGATTGTTGTAGGGAACAAAATGAAGGGAGATACTTCAGAGTTATAACAAGATGCATATGCGTGTAGTTTTTTTTCATATGGATCAAGTTGATCAACTTGCCTGTAGTTTTAACCGTTTAATGTTTTCTAACCATATGTCGAAGACGAACTGAACTTGATTGAAAACGCCAGTTATGTAGGTTGTCATTTAGAGTGGTAGACCGCCCGTGCCGCCATGGACTGAATTATTTGTTATTTAGAGGAGGCCGGTGATATATTTGTTTTGCTGCGTGATCGTTTAACCCCTACTCGAAATCCGAAGTCTCTGCGCTGTCTCTTGCACATTTATGTTTTCGTCGTATCTTCAGAGGCAACTACTGCAACTGTGATACATATTTCAGCCCTCAGTCATAGCTGTTCAGTATCACAAGTGCTATCATGTAAAAAGAAGACAATGAACGCTATGCTGTTATGGCTGTCTAACTTTTCGATGTTGCACCGTTAGTTGACTATATGGCAGCAGAAAGTAAACCATGCTATAGGGGCGTTGAAAGAAGGTTGCTAGACGTGCAAAATAAAGCGATATCCGAACAGGTTACAAATTTAGCGTCTGTACAGAACGCGGGCAGCATCAAATTCGAATTAATTTTTACTGGTGCTTCATGTTTTGACAGTTATTTGGTATTATAGTGTTCCGATTTGTGGAAGTATGACGATCGGTTGGTTGGCACCACTAATTACGTTTCTGTTCCCTGAAAACTGCTTTGAAGAACTGCTAATCCATTACAACTTTTTCAGTAGTAAGTAACACAAAACGTTACAGATTTCGTCGAGAACAGCCATGAAACTGTTTACGTCTTTTCTTGTTTAGCTCTATGTGTCCGTTTGGTGTTTAGTCGCTTTCTCGGTCTGGGGATCGTCACGCTGTCGGCTTTGGGTAATTTGCAATGAAACGACGACGTCACTTAATCACTTACAGTGGTTTTCAGTGAAAGTACCTCAAATCGTCAAAATCTGGAATGCGCGTAGCGGGGTAGGCGTTTCTGTGTTCAGTCAGGTGCTTGAGTTGATCGGCACGATGACAATGGTGGCATACAGTTCAGCGAAAGGCTTTCACTTCAGGTACTTTAGTTGGTTTTCGTTGCAGTCTTCATGCGATATTCTTTTTTTTGTCAGTGCATGGGGTGACGCACTGTTTCTCACCCTTCAGACGACGGTCGTCATTTTTATGATACTGTGGTTCGCTGGCGACCGAAACCTTGCTGCCTTGTTCTTGTTGATATTCGCTGCGATGTCGTCACTTCTGCAGATGCGTTTCTTTCCGTTGTCGTGGATCTCGAAGTTACAGGCGTCCAATACGCTGTTATTCCTCCTGGCTCGGGTAAATAGCGATAGTTCGGTGTCCTTCGAACCGGGCAGTGGTTAGATGTGGCTTCGTAAATGACTTGTTCCTTTCAGGGCCTGCAGGCGGCGAGCAACTACAAACGTAAAAGCACCGGTCAGTTATCCGCAGTGACGTGTTTCCTGTTGTTTGGCGGATGCCTTGCGCGAATATTCACTTCAGTCCAAGAAACGGGTGATACGTTGATGATCATTCAGTTCGTCATAGCATCGATCATGAACTTTATCATTTTTGCTCAGATCATTGTTTACTGGAATTCTAGTGATACCACTAGGTTAAGAAAAGGGATATGAATGACGGTCGTATTTAATTTAACCCTATGTCGGTTTGTCTCTGGTTTTGCCGAGACGTTATCGAAATTTCGGAATGTGAGTAAAATGCTCAGAGTAAGTCGGTGTTGTTGTGGTAAGTGGTGTAGTGCAACAGAAGCGAATGCTGAATGGAAATTTATTAGAACTTTCTACATAACAAATTCAGAACTCAAATAGTGTATGAAAAATGAAATTTAGAGGAAGGACTGGTAATGTTGTGGCTTGTAGTCGTGGACAGGTTTGTTGTATTCCGGCTCGTGCTTGTACGTCTCCTTGTATTCCGGCTCGTGCTTGTACGTCTCCTTGTATTCCG